GGAGAGGTCCGCACGCGAGGAGGGCCGGATAGGGGTCGGAGGTCGAAGGCCGGAGGTCGGCTCGGCCCTGCGCGAGTCCGGTCCGAGCACGTGGTCCCGGATCCTGCGGCCCCTCCTACCTCCGTCTCCCCACCAACTCCTGCGCCCAGGCCTCGCCTCCTCACTCCGCGCCCCCAAAAGCTCAGGCCGCCCACCCCTTCTCCGCGGTCCCTTCCCGGGTCCCTGATAGTCGGAGTCCCCTCCGTGACCGAGGTCAGGGTCAGAGTCAGGGTCAGGGTTAGGGTTAGGGGTCCGGGCCAGGGTTAGGGTTCAGAGTCAGGGTGACAGCGCGGAGGCAGACGCTGGGGCTGGGAATCGGCCTGGAGGTGCCAAGAGTCACAGGACCCCATTGTTCATGGCTTCCCCGAGGTCCCGCAGGCCTGGGGCGGTGTTGCAAGAAAAGCAGCTGTAAAAGGCAGCGGCTCAGGGGCTGAGCGGCTACCTGTGAACCAGGAGGTCAGGGTTCGATTGCGAGTTCGATTGCGGGTCGGGGCCCAGGCCCGGGTGCAGGCTCATCCCCAGTGGGGGGCGTGCAGGAGGCGGCCCATCCATGGTTCTCTCTCATCATCGTGTTTCTGTCTCTCTCCCTCTGAAATCAGTAAAAATATATTATTTTTTAAAAGGTAGGCCCTAACCGGTGTGGCTCAGTGGATAGAGCGTCGGCCTGCGGACTGAAAGGTCCCAGGTTCGATTCTGGTCAAGGGCATGTACCTGGGTTGCGGGCACATCCCCAGTAGGAGATGTGCAGGAGGCGGCTGATCGATGTTTCTCACTCTCTATCCCTCTCCCTTCCTCTCTGTAAAAAAATCAATAAAATATATTTTAAAAGAAAAAGGTAGCTGTGCCTTGGGACCTGGATGGGTCCGTTGCTCCGAGAAGACGGTGTGTTTTGAGGACGAAGGACAGGACGTGCTCTGATTTGGTTGCTGTGCTGGCCCCTGGCCCCTGGGGAGTTTGCCTCAGGAATGCTGACCGCTCTCCAGCCCGGGGCGGGCGGAGCTGGGTTCACACCGTTAAACATTAATGGCCTTGTTATGGGACTTCAAGATCCTGGAGGGAGACACACGGACCAGACCCTGCAGCCATCCCCGCTCCCCCGCTCGCAGCCTCTCCTCCCCATCCCTACGTGAGCAGGTTTTCATGGGGGACCTGCTGCCCCCATGCTGCCGGCGTTACTGGAGTAAACGCTCGTGTAGGCCTCAACCCTGTCTCTGCTACAGTCAAGACAACAGCGGGCACATTGTTACAAGCAGCCATTCCAGGACCCCAGCAGTTGACCAAAGGCATAGATAGTTGAGAAACTTTTTTTTTAAGTTACCCAATGCCAGTGAGAACTTAGAACATGGGCGTCTGCGGAGTTTTTTATGGGCTCTTTTCATTTCCTCCCAGGAGGGCCGGTCTGGGGACCCGCAACTCCTACGTAGGGAGAAGAATGCATGGCCTGATGTGGCCTGGTGTGGGAGGGCGTCTTCATCAAGAACAGATGTGAGCCGAAACCGGTTTGGCTCAGTGGATAGAGCGTCGGCCTGTGGACTGAAAGTTCCCAGGTTCGATTCCGGTCAAGGGCATGTACCTGGGTTGCGGGCACATCCCCAGTAGGGGGTGTGCAGGAGGCAGCTGATCGATGTTTCTCTCTCATCGATGTTTCTAACTCTCTATCTCTCTCCCTTCATCTCTGTAAAAAATCAATAAAATATATTAAAAAAAAAAAAAAAGAACAGATGTGAGCCCAGCCATCATGGCTCAGTGGTTGAGCGTCCACCTATGCACCCGGAGGTCAGCGTTCGATTCTCCGTCAGAGCAGACGCCGGGGTGGCGGGCTCAACCCCCAGCAGGGGGCGTGCAGGAGGCAGCCAAGCCAGGATTCTCATCATTGATGTCTCTCTCCCTCTCCCTTCCTCTCTGAAATCAGTAAAAATATAGTTTTAAAAAATAAAGTGGTGCTGGTTTCGGCAGCAGAGACACTAAAATGGAAACGGTAGAAAGATTAGCATGGCCTCTTGCAAAGGTGACACACAACTTCGTGCAGCATAAAAAATAAACTAATAAATAAAACCTCATAAACTAGGAATAGAGGAACTTTCTAAACATGGCAGAGAATCTACAAAAAAAAAGACACCAAAACCACAATTACTATCCCAGGTGATGATGGGCCTTTCTTCCGAGTTCAGGACACCTGCTCTCGCCAGCCTTCCTCACAGCAGCGCTGGCAGCTCAGCCAGCTCAATAGGCGAGAAAAGAAAGGTGTCTGGATGGGAACGAGGAAAACGCCCCTTTCTGCATATGGTGTGATTGTCTGCAGAGAAATCCCTAAGGAACCTAAAAACAAAACATTCAAACAGCCCAGCCCGACCGAGTCCAGTGAGGTCAGTACACAAACATCCACCGCAGTTTTTAGAGAACAGTTGACTAGAGGTAGGGAGAGGGAGAAACACTGATGTGATCGGCTGCCTCCCGCATGCCCTCCACTGGGGACTGAGCCCAAAACCAGGGCATGTGCCCTGACCGGGAATTGAACCGGTGACCTCTTGGCTCCTGGGTCCACTCTCAACCACTGAGAACACTGGCCAGGCCATAATAGATTTTTTTTTTGGTGGAATTTGCCGTTCATCTGGAGTTTCTTTTTGTGGAAAAGTTCATTTTTTTTCAATAGATGCAGGGTTATTCTGGTTGTCTACTTCTTCGTCTTGTGTGGGATTTGCCCACTTCATTTAAGTTGTTTGGCATAAAGTTGTTCATAATAATAATCCTTGTGTATAATCTTAGTGATATCACCTGTCATTCTCCCCCCCCCCCCCC